GAATACTTCTCTTAATCCATTTGACAATATGGAATCGGCTTGCCTGAAAGCAGGGATTTGTAAGATTCTGGCTTATATCAAGGAATAAATCCACCATAATGAGATTCTGAAGATTAGTAGTCTATGGTTCTTCAAGTCCATATACAGTATTGCACCATTTTTGCACTTTTCCAAAGCAGTATTACCAACAAGGAAGGCATCTCTCTTGGAAGTGGTATGCCTTGCTAAACAATTAATGTATTTTAAGCATGGCTGAAGGGATTCTAGACCCACAAGTTGTAAAATGCCCAGCAATGAAAAGAGTTAGAGATGAACATAGTGCTATATTTTCAGCAATGCTTTCAAGTCAGTGATGGTTACTAAAGTGAGAGAGTATTCCAGTTCCCTCTGCTCTCTACTGATGCATGGTGAGGGATATGGCAATAATTATCTCTTTTGCTGTGGGGCTTCATGCTATGTACATTTCAGCCATCTAGATGCAGCATCTGTGGGGAAGGTAAGCAGGCTGGTGCACAGAAACATAAGTCATTAGTCCTGAACTCCTCACCTTCTTGCCCTGGCACACACGCTCTCCAGATCCAGTCACATCTCTGCATAGGCATCAGGTCCAGTTCTTTCCACACCAGCTACAAAGGGAATGAACTCAGAATCACAGCACCAATGTTGAGGTGCTCGTTAACAGACAAAGGCCTTTTTCACAAAAGTTGGTGCCACTCCTTTAAGGGGGTCTTTATGGCCTGCCAACGTTTCCTCCAAGAACAAGTTCAGAGAACACCCCCAACATATCGTGACAGAACCACATTTTCATGATTTGCTCCCTTTTATTATGGTTTTATACTGCCCGTAGCACCAGCTTCCTGCACTATTTCAAGTTAAAAGTGTTGTTTATCTCCAGTGATGGCAGATTTATGATATTGCATATTTACTCCACTAATGCTATTGTTTTCCAGTTTGAGAAGCTATATGGAAAGGGTAGCAGGCAATCTGACATTGATCAGGACAGGGAAAAGGCACCTCCTGAAGGATTTGTGATTATCTGAAGAGTGCCTTTACAGAAGAAGCTTTAGAAATGGCTTAGCTGTAATACAATAAAGCTGTTGGCTCTCAGAGCTAATCAGGAGAACAGCTGATTCAGACTGCTATACATGGCTTGGACCACTGAACTTGTCAGATCTTATCAGATAAGGAAAGCTGGTCCTAGTGCATATTCAAATAGTGAACACTAAAGAAAATGTGGGATGAATTTGTAGAAAGGTGTTTAAGATGTTGTGTCACAAATGGAAGACTGAGGATCCACTTAGACAGGGAGATACAGGGTTAGATCCAGATGTAGTTATAGATAGAATAGACCCATTAAAATCAATGGGCACTTAAGTCATGAGAAACTGGAGTTCCACTGATTTCCATGGGTTTACTCAATATGCTAGATGGGGTCTTGAGCCAATCCTCAGTATTTACAGATTCTTTGTTGTGTAATTCTCCTGGCAAACCAGCACCAAGTAGAAGTATTAGTATGGTTCACTGGATCTTCCTTCTGGAAGACTGATGTCTTTCACTTCAGAGCAAATGTTCCCAGTACATAATGGGAATGATCATAGACAATTAATTAAAGAAGATGTTTTCTACAATAACTGCAAGCTGTATAAGTGTCAGGCATTTCTACCATGTCATGTGTTCTGGAAATTTGCTAATGCTTAAATCAGCATTTGAGATCATTATGAGCCTGTGTGTTTGATCAATTATTATGGTTCATAAAGCTTTACTTCAGCATTCCTTATATTATTCTCATTATCCGACCAAAACTTCCTTCTTGCCAGCATATCATCTTGCCAGTGGAGGGCAATGTACAGCCACAAAAAGTTGATAGAGAAGAGTATAGAACATTCCCTTCTTTCTCACAGTCTTCATCTTAAGCTGCTTGTTTGTTTGTTTGTTTGATAGTCAAAGCTCTCTGGGTGGTTTAAAACAACACAACTTTTTTGACTCTTTGCACTGGTTACTTCCAGACAACACTTTTCCCTGCCTGATTCAAGGAAACTGATGGGGGCTGTGGGGGAGTGCCGATGACATTTACCACTAGTAAACCCACCTCCCCCATTTTCTTACCTCTTCTTCCATTTCCACCCCAACACACACACACACACACACACACACAGACACATGAGAGAGAGAGAGAGAGAGAGAGAGAGAGAGAGAGAGAGAGAGAGAGAGATTGCATTAAGAATAAAAAAGACAGGAATATCTGCTCTGTGCCTTTTGATTGCTAGTGCTAATGGTTCAGCTATTTCATCTCTTCTTCTGCCTCCTTTTTCCCCTACTGGTAAGAAAATTGACAAAAGAAATGGTGGAAAAATGCAAGAGGAGCACAAATGGAAGATGGCATTATCTGGACTCTCTTGCAAAAATCCTTGAATAAGGTAGGGCAATTGCAGGATAAAAGCATCATCTGGAAATATCCTATTTTACTATTATTCCCATTTTACAGATAATACAATTGCTACACTGTGGCCATCCAATGTCATGTAATGGCAGAAAGAGAAATCAAACTCAGGTCCCTCTATCTTTCTGTTGCATTAAATTCTTCTACTAGTAGTAAAAGCATAGTGAAAAGCAATCTAATTCTCTCTCTCTCCACACACCATCATAAAAGCATCAGTCAAACACCGAATGCTTAACAGAGTGGGGAAATCTACTCCACAGTATGAGCCAGAAATGTTTACAGAGTGTCTTTGGGCAATTCACTGACAGGTTTTGCATAATGCATCAAACAAACAATGAAATAAGATCATGGTTGCATGTCATGTTGTGTGTATCCAGTCACAGGTACCAACTATTGGAACTCACCATGGCTGAGAACCATGGGTAAGAGGCGATAGCTAGTTTTAGGAATTGTTCGACTCACATCTGAAAAAGGACAACATGGCCTTCATGGCTCACACTCCATAACAAGTGAGCCACTTAGCCAGAGCAGCAAGATCTACATGCTACTTCTGCCAAGCTGCTCGCCAGTGAAACAGGGCTGGCAGTGGCTCCCAAAGTGCCCAAGCAGCACTTGGGGGCAACTGTCAGAGGCTTCCCACACTCTACACTGCATCTTGCCAGGCTTTCAGGCCAGCACAGATGGTGGGGAAATGCTGTCACTGCTAGTTGCATGAGCATCACTGATGCCCACATACAAAATGCCCAAGCAACATTATATTATGTTACCATTCCATGCTTGGGGCAGAAGGGCGAAAGGCCATGCTCACCTTTCTGCTCAAGAGACCTCCTTGGCAAAGATTGTCACATTCCACCACAGCAAGCCAAAAGGCTCCGCCCACTGGTGAGTGGGCAGACCCAATCCCAGCTCTACTGCCACACATCACCACCATCATTCAGGGCCCTTTTAGCTCACTGCAGCAGTGGAAGGTGAACAGGGTTCCAGCTCCCCCATTCCCCCCACTGCATTTCAGGGAACAAAGAAGGAAAAAAAAATTTTTTTCTCTCTTCTATGGTGCAGACAGTGCTTGTGCCCAGAAGTGTAACAGAAGCAACTTCCAGCCTTAGCTGGGGAAATATGCAGGAATTTATCGCCTATCTCTTGGCCGAACTTATATCCCAGAGATGTAAGGGAGGTGGTATCAGTCAACACTCTTTATTGGAGGAAGGTGGGGTGTAAATGCAGTATGTTATTTTAATGTAATGGTTTTCTACATAGTCAAAAACCACAGTCTGAGACCTGCTTATTTCATTTGGCTGAAATAGTCTGTAGATCTCCCCCTAGCCTTCCAGCAAACAAATCATTTCCAGAGGGTTGTCTCCATGAATGGTGTGCATTAGCACCCAGAAACTTGGAAGTGCAACCAATTAAAAGATGGCATCATTCATACTATCAGTTATGGTTGACCAGATGCAAGATGTTAATTTCCATAGAACCCTACCTGTGATGCCAGATTAGATCGATTGTATTCTTATAGATGCAAGGAAGAACTCAACATGGCAATATCAATGAACCATTGTATGAATCCCCAGGCATCACAACTGACATAATCTGCTAGGTATTAGGACAGGACACTCAATATAATACAGTCACGGAAATCAGCAATATCTGCATGGTTCTGTGGGTTGTGATGCAGGGAGGCTGGAATCCTGTGATCATCATTCCATCATGCCTGACCACCGACCATAGTTAACCACCCTAAAGAACTCCAGCCCATAAAACACACAAGAAACTCATGGAATATCATTAAATACTACAGAAATGCATCACAGTGATATCATTATAATCATTCTTCTTTATTATTCTTCAGTTGGAAAAAGGAGCCAGGAGTCGCAAGGAACGCTAATTGGCACATTTGCTTTATTTATTCATTTATTTATTTAAAACAAACTGGGGTTGTATTCTCATTCTGTGTTTTTCTTTTTTGCTTTGTCTGTCTTGTCTCCTATAGTTTGTTCCACCATCACATTGAAAAAGGGAGAAAAGAAAAAATATTGTTCTTTTTTCCTTTTAACTCTCTCAAAGCACAACCCTATGCATATTTAGAGAGAGAAGAAGGCCTACAACTACCAGCATGTCCAGCCAGCCTGGAACTTGCTAGGAGTTGTAGACCCTTCTCTCTCTCTGAACATGCACAGGATTGCACCAATAGTTTTGGACTCCTCAGATGAATGTAACATTGCACACACACTTGGAACAGAGAGAAAGAGAGAGAGAGAGGGAGAAAGAGAGAGCGCACTCGTGGTGGGCAGACAAACACACACACGCGCAGATCAAACAATTCTGATACAGTGCAAGAATTTTCCCAAAATGATTGGATCATTACCAAAAAACTCGCCATAACAACACCAAGAAACAAAATGTTTAAGCCACACTGTTTGACTGGGATTTTTCCTGCTTTTTTTTCTTTAAATGTTTGCCACACAGAGAGAAAAAGGGTTAAGTTGGGGAGAAGAAGGGGGGCAGAAGGGGACAAAGAGGACAGACAAACTCACGGGTATGTGAGTAGGAGAGGGTAAGATTGGAACAAGGAAAAGAGGGAGGGCAGGGCAACAGGGAGTCATTTCTTAATGTTCAGGCATTTTCTTGGTCCGCCTTGCTCTCATCTTCTTTCGCTTCTTCCTGCTGGGCACTTTCAGAAGATTTGGTTTCTTCTACAGCATCTAGGAGGGACAAACATAAAACTGTAAAGAAGTGTGTGAATTCAGGTTAACAGCCTTTGCTAAAAAAAAAAAAGATGAATGCACTTATTTGCTTGGGTTTTGACTATACAATAACTAACATTCAAGGGTTGAATATGAATTGAGTATGGATTGTTGCTGATGTTTTATGAAGCCAGCTGCACTAACAAGCCATGGCTTTTTAACCACAAACCACGCATGAAGAGAAATCATGGTTTGTTGTTGGATTTTGAACTGTGGCTTGTCTTGCCTGGGTTCAGACAACATAATAACCCATGTTTCCAGAACAACTTGTGCTTCAGCAAGAACTCATACTCAGTTCAGCCCCTGAGTGTGGTTTATTGTGATGTGTACACTCAACAGTTTTGTACATTTCAGAATGCTTCTGAGCTTGACTGCTGTTTATAAAGTTTCTGCCTTTTTTCCATTTTGGCATCCCCTTATCCCATTCCCTAACCCATTGTCTTCCAGATGTGCTGAACTGCAACTCTCATCATTTCCAGCCAACATCAGGAAGGCTGTACTCTGCATCTCCTGCTCCCTGTTTTGGGACATACTTATGAGTTAAATGGGAATTTTAATACACTGAAGTCTATGAGCATGAAACCAGAAGTAATAGTTATACTGAGTTAATGAATTCTAGCAAGTCAAATATGGCTCAGAGGAGAAGGGTGGCAAAAGGGATTGAATGTTCACAGTACAATAAACAAATCAAGCAATTTGTGTATGGCTATCTGAAAAAGAAGAGGAGGAGGAGATGGGGAAAGCAGTTGGGAGCAAAATAAACAGGGAAGTGCTTGGAAAGAATAATACAATTAGTAAAGCCCCAGTATATGGAATTAAGAGGGGGGAGCAGTCAAAGTCTGCATGAACTACAGTTAAGGAGCATTTCTTGCATTTATTCCATTTACAGTTCTGCTAAACAGTTCTGCTACAGTTCTGCTACAGTTCTCTTAGCCCTTTGGAAAGTCCATTTCGTCATGTAGACTGATTCACGGCAGTTCACCTGGCATATGGAAATGTTTAATGAACAGATCTCTGAATTTTAGTTTAACATGTATAAGGTTTCTGTTTGTTTGAGGAAAGATCTTTGTATTTAGCCCTATTGCTGTGAGCTTCCAAGCACCAGTGGGTTTCTTCATCAAGTAATCAGCAGGCAGTCTTCTGTATCATAAAAGAGCCTTGGATAGAAAGAAACTGGCATTTTTTTCTTATCATCTACATCTTAGTGCATGGTGTATTTCCTTGAAAGGGTAGAGATGTTTTGCTCAAGCATTTATCAGTAAGTGATTGAGTGCTGTGAATAAATATAGCCTTGGTTGCTAAAAAATGGAGCCAAGCAAGAGGGGCAGTAGTTCCAAGGGAGGGCAGCATGCCCAGCTGTCTTCACCTACACTATGTGTTAATGGCTTGTAGGCTTTGCTCCAAGTCCTTCAACTGCCCTACATTGGTGAAATTAGGTTGAGTGGATTTCTGGGTAAAAGACAGTCTCTTGGGATCTGCCCAGCTCTCTTTGACTTGCCAGGATTAATTAAATTGGAGCAGGCAACAGCACATTCAACTGATCTAACTTCCTTCTTTGCTTCCCCTGACCTCCCCTGCAGCTCTCTCTCTCTCTCTCTCTTTGTGGCTAGTGGTTTTTGTTTTTGTGGGATATTTAAATGATCAACCACAGAGCCAATAGAAATAAATCTTATCAACACTCTGGATTCCTTACAACAGCCTTGGGAAATTTGTCTTCATGGTTTCATATTTACCATTCATATTGCTCACTCAGAAACAGCCTTTATAATTCCTTTGATAGTCAGAATCAGCCATTTGATTGGTTAAACCATTGTTCTAACTGGTAAGAAAGCAGACCATCACCTTTATCCCTAGATCAAAGGCAAGTTAACACAGGGGGAAGTTAGACTCACTTTCAAGAAAATACATTTAGGAATCAAGAAGCAAGAATTTCCAAGGGAAAATCTGTTGTCCCGATCTAAATTCTACATTTAATGAGGTAAGCATTTATTTCAAACTTTAAACACATGAAATGTGGAGCACTGCACATTGTATGGGAATCCCTGAGGGAAGACAGGGCCTTTTCTCTGCCCTCTTACCCAATGATCCCGATTCAGCTTGCTCCTTCCTCACTGCTAACAGTGTTGGAAAAATGATGATCTATAGGATAACATGGAGAATACAGGTGATTATAGTTCAGCATACCCTTGGGAGCACAGTAGATCCCTGGGGGTCAAATGCAGTCCTTGGGCCACAGGTTGTGAACCCTTAACTAAAAACTGTTTTCCCTTTAGTTAGCAAAAATAATCCCTTGTAAGGGAGTGGGAAAGCAGGGCTATTATTTATTCATATTCTTCCCGTCTCTTCTACAAGAGGTATTGTAGCAGTTAATATGGAATAAACAGCAGACACTAAATATCAAGTGCAAAAACAAAAACAAAACAAAAACAAAAACCTACAGCAACACCACAATTAGTTAAATGCTGTCTCAGAAGGAACATTTTAACAGCCATCCTAACTAGTATATAGGCATCATCAACAACAACCACGACAGCCAACAACTCAATGAACTAGCCAAATGATCTCCTCTAGGCTGAAGATACTATTGCACAGTCTAGAAAGGCCCACACTGCCAAACACAAAAGCATCTTGAGTCCTGTCTATTCAGTTCTCAAGGTTAGAGTAGGTCCATATGGGAACAACCATTCTTCCAGGTATTTTGGAACTGTATTTTCACCCTGGCTTAATAAAATCAACTTGTTATGCTCATTCACTAACTCTATTATTTATATTTGGTCACTTCATCCTCTTTAGCCTTAAACTGTTCTGCTTATGCTTACATAGTTCACTGTTTTCCCTGCCATTTAATATAATTTAGGTTCCGGACTGGCTTTTTTTCATGGATGCATTGCATTACAGGAGGTATGAGCAATGTGGGAACTTCTAGGTATTCTTGCACTACAACAACCCCTGCCTATCTTAGCTAACATAACCAGTGATGATGGAAGCTGCAGTCCAATAATACCTAGAAAGCTACAAGTTCTCACCCCTGCATCATGGGAAGGGTAGTCTTAAAGCTGTACCCTCACCACACCATTCTCACAGGAGCAGCTCAGGTTGTGACATGAAAATTGCTATTACAGTATTCAAACAAACAGGAATGGTGTGAATCAGTGAAAATGTTATTAGAATAATTCAATAGTGGATGGTGTTAAAGGGTTAAAAAATACAGTTTTCTTGACAATTCTAAGTGATGTAAGCATCTCAACACTTAAAATGAGAGAGAGAGAGAGAGAGGGGGAGAGGGAGAGGGAGAGGGAGAGGGAGAGGGAGAGGGAGAGAGAGAGGTGTTATCAGAAACATTTTATAATAAATAGATGGCCCAATAAGCTTAAAACCATTGTAGATCCACATAGCTATCGGAATCTTTGGAGAAGGTATTGGAGTTATTGACACAATATCCAACCATCCTTTCCTACATTTTCTAAATTTGACACAAGTCTACAGAAGACGAGTGAAAGAAAGTTGTTCCTTGTACAATATTGTCATTGAAGCTGCTATAGGATCTGCATCCACCCACCCTCCACTAAATTCTCATTGCCATTTCATTTTTTCCCCCCAAGCTTATTATAAACAAACAGTTTCCAGGCATACAAAGTTTGATGTAGTTGAATGCATACCATTCTTAAGGTGCAATCCGATACACATTTGGACAGAAAAAAGTCCTAGAATTACCTTGGCTGGATGGGGAATGCTGGGCACTGCACTGTAGGACTTTTTCTGTTTAATCATGCATGAGGTTGCACCTGTAAATGTTTGTTCAATATTTCTTTATCACATCAGATTTTTTTTAACAAGGCATGATGATTTTTCATGAGAATGAAAAATGGTGGCTTGGAGCATCAAAATGTTAATCTCTTCCTTCCCAGAGTTGAAATGTGAGGTGTGTGGTATATGGAGGAAAGTTTCCATTGAGAAAAAAATCTCCTAGGAAGGAATTACCCAGTATATTACAGAGGAAAAAGATCCTAACTCAGTAATATGCTTTGCACATACATGTCCTAGGTTCAGTCCCAGAACTTCCAAATTCAAGGATGTCGAATAGCATTCTACTGGCTCTTCAGATCCCTGGTATGCAATTTCATGTGAAATGCAGATGAACAGACACATTTGACAGTTACTCTCTGTTGGAAGGCCATGTCATGTCACCACTCACAGTGAGGAAGACTGAATTAAAATGGACCACTGATTCTGACCTGATTCTTTTTTCCCTTATACCAACTGCCTGTTGGTTTCTCTCATCCTAGAACTGCCTCTATCAGCAGTCAACCCATGTTGATGCCTCTGAAGGTGAAGACAGGAAGCAAAGTCCCCTCCTTTGACTAAGTTGGGGCCAACTGCAATTTGGCTGCTCCATCCAGAACTGACTCCTACAGTGCTTGTCCATTACATAATTCCACTAATTTGCTTAATTTCTTTTCTCTCCCATGTCCTTTTGACTTTTTATCATTTCCATTAGCTAATAAGGCATGATTGTAAAAGTTAGCCAATCTGGCAGGAAAGTGAGTATGTGTGCCTGTGCAAGTGCATGTGCAGAGAAAGAAAGCACACAAATATATAATCAGTGGAGAGTAACACATTCAATAGCATCATCAGGGTGCTCCCAAAGAAGACCCATAAAACTCCCAGTTAAAAGGAAATGGGTTCTTCTATGGACTTTTCCTTTTTAACAGACTCAATCTCGAAAGAGTAGGTGGCAGAAGTGGTGGAAAAGAACAAGAAGGTTCCAAATGGAAGAACAATAATGGCAACTGGGGCCTCATAAAACTTCATGTTGGAGGCAGGACAGTTACCGAAAACAAGCCTCATCTGGACACACCCTTGAATCATGGCACAATGCATTCATCAGACTAACTAGACCTCAGTTACCCAACACTGTAGGACTTAATGCTGGGTATCAAAATCTGTGTATTAGGGTG